CGATGAAAGAATGAGATGCTTGAAGTCCTCTCACAATCTTAATTAACTAGTTGAACGAGCCCTTATTTTGGACCACATTTTGGTAGTAATGCTTGATATTTTATTATTTTTTGCATCAATTGATCTTTGTGAAGTCTATATTTGATTCTAATCAAGTATGATTTCTACTTAATTCACTACCAAAGGTCTAAAAGTTGTATAAGTTAGCTCTTCCTCTCCGTCCTTTTTCTTCTTCTGCCTTGGTTATGTTAAAACAGTTCTTAGTCTTATTCACCTCCTCCAGCCTTGGTTTAGTTAAAGCAGTCAAAGCATGTAGTATTTTCTATGTAATATTAGCCTGTTCCAATCAATGGTTTCTGCCCCAGATATCCTTTAGACCCACTGTGCTCGTTCATTTCTTTTTAAATGCATCCATTGTTTGTTCGGCAATTGCCTCTGATGGCTAGGCAAGCTTGTTTACTGCTGTTATTGACACCTGTCATCAGTAAAGTACTAGTTGCTAAATTTTCAGCCTCTAAGTTTAATTGCCGATAATTTAGTACTTTTATTTCCTTTATTTATGATTAGATTAAATTGTTTACATGCTGCCACAGCATACTTGTAGATAGTTATGAGCCATTTTCTGAAGACCTATTGGAGAGATTACAATGTGCCATATTCTGAGATTGCCTGCCATGTCTTTGCCTTGAAGAAGGAGATGATTTTCATTTCTCAGTTAGTGTGTGAAGCTTCGAGAAAAATGTAATTTTCTAATTTCAGGTTTCATTCTTTTTAGTAGTTTTAATTTCATGCCTTAAAAATTTTGATACGTTCAAATATTCTCAAATAATTCCCCTTTTGTTCAGAAATTTCTTCGGGCCTCAAAAAGTGTTTTGGTTACTTCGATAATTTTTTGTACCCAAAAAAAAGAAAAAGAAGAAGGAGTTCTCTATTGCAACTGGATTACTTACAAGTTTTATTTGGTTGGGTCACTGGAAGGCCCAAAAGTTTTTATGGTACTTCAATACCAAAAGCTTACTTTTGAACACATATATTTCTTGGTGGCTCGCGAAGGTTCAAAAATGTCACGGTTTTGTACTTTGAAATTAAAATTATAACTTAATAGTCAAGGTTCCAGTTTTCCTTAAGCCCGAAAATTAAAAAAATGTCACTCTTGCAAATATTAAAAAGAAAAACAAACGCAGTTTCTTAGAACACAAACACCACAATAAGAATCGTATCAACTATCAATTTCAAAGACACATAAAATAAATTTGAAAGAATCAACTAAAAGAAAAGAAAGCGTGTAGACACCTGAACGTAGTCGCGGACATCGTCAAATGCCGACTGGCACAATCCAGAAGACGTCGTGATGGCCATCGCCCCACTGGCACCTAGGAACACCGGTTGGCGCCGTGGACTAGCGCAGCGCTACGAAACGAAAGGAAATATGGCATCGTTTCTCTGATTAAGAACGCCAGATCTATCCTTCAGGCAATGGTAAAGCACCAATCAGGGGCGCCATGGCACCGTATCGGTGGTCGGCGATAGCCGGTGGGTGACCAGGGCTTCTTCCGGTGCCGTCCGCCCATTTCACCGACGTTTAGAGCAAGAACATTGGGAGGGAGAATGGGAGAGGAGAGAGAGTGTACAGAAACGAGCGAAAAAGGAAAAGTGAAGGTTCTTTCAGATTTTCTTGATTGAAGGGTAGTAATGACATTTGGCTTACACTGTATGATCTAAGCCGTTGATGCTTACACGGTGTGATCTAAGCGGTTGATTCTTTTCCAAAGCATGTGCACGCCGTCGATTACGTTCCACCTCTCATCTCTTATGGGCCCAAATCAAATAAATAAGATTCCAAAAAAAAAGCGCAAAATAAACATAAGGACTTAATTTGATAAATTATTTATTAATTATTGATTTTTTTAATTTTAATTTAAAATTTTAATTTTTTGCAAAATTATTATTAATTTTTAAATTTATTTTAATTTCATTTATTTAACACAACTTCAATGGCAAAATTCTCAGTAGTCCACGTCACATGGCCTGAAAAGAGGTAAAATTCTCGCCTCTTCGTATCCAACTTCATAACAATATAAATAATTAAATTGTAATATAATTTAATTAAATAATCCAATTAAAATAAAAGAAATAAAACTATTTAACTCATGTTTTGTTTACGTGATATCACATAAGTGATGGTATAAACCATCATCAATCATGTGAATAAAACAATCATAAAAATTAATATATAACTTTAAAAGATTATAAATATTCTGAAGCAAAACAAAAGAAAAAGATTAATAGTAAATAAATGATTTATTGAATTAAGTCTAAATACAAAACATAAACACTAATGATTCCTTCATTATATAATTTATTATAGATATAGTGTATAAAAAAAAGTAACTAATGAAACCGAAGAACTGAGAGAATGAAAAAAATAATACTGTTGTACAACTGTACCTAAAAAAAACACAAATAATACGGTTGACATTTATCTTAATTTTATATTCATTTCATCAATTCACAACACGACATTGCTTCCTGATCTCTCCTGCGGTCCCGGTGAGCACTTCTATGGCTCCCATCTTCTTTATGGAATTGGCAAATTGTGGAATGAAAGAGTTGGAGATCTGCAGTCGTTCAACAATCTTAGCCGAATCATTGTTGGTCAGAAGCGCAGCATCAGATACGAACAGACCCTTGTTCTCCAACAGGGTTTGGTAGTAATGTTTATCAAATGTGAGTTCGCTTTCAGGATCCATTGCCACGGTGGTCGCGGGGTTGGCCGGATTAGGGCACTGCTGCTTCAAGAATTCGGCGTATGATGGGTCCAAGGAAGGATCTTGATCACCATTTCCAGTGAAGTTATAAAGCCTTGGTGAGAAAGTGGCACAGTGTGCAACTCCAATGGTATGTCCACCTGCGTACATGTTCAATAGTAATAGTAATTATGGTTCAAATCATAGTTAGCTACCTTATCTAATTAATTAAGGATTTTTTCTGTCTTTAAAGTTACATTAATTACACTTTTTTCATTATTTAGTATGAGAAAATAAAAATTTAGCCTTAATTAGTTTAGGAGTACTAGTGTAGTTGCGGTTGTTGGATAAAAATATATAAAAATATATTTAATATTTATTTTGATTAAAATTTTATATATTTTAAAATAATAAAAAAATATAAAAACTAAAAGTTAAAGTATTAAGAAAGGTGGTTATTCACACATACGTTAAGTGATTTACTACTTAATTGGTTTGTTTGTGGAAACATCATTTTGAATTGAAAGTTTGAGTTCTTGGTGCTCTCCCTTTCCCATTCCCCTTTAGTATAGTAGGTTTGATTATAATTTGTTTAAAGAAAAAAAAAAGTATTGAGAAATGTTATAAGACAAAGTCTTAATTACCACTTGATTCTTCAC